CAATGTGTTTTCTATTTAGTAGGTAGGTATCTACTACTACTCAAATTCCTAAAGGTATGCAATAAGATTTTGTCTGCTAAAAGTGTCGGGTGCCTCTGGTATGATGATACTACTTCAGTTTCGGTGAAAACATTTCTTTCTTTAAAATGCTTCTTAGTAGAAATAGTTAGAAATAGATTTTTGAATTATATTAAGAACTGTCCCTCAGGGTTCCTTTAAAAATCATTAAAAAAAGTGCACTAATGTAATAGGTAAAAACTCAGATACACAACGATTTGTTAAATTAAAAACTCCTCCCTTTTTTTGCTTCAGGGGTTAATAAACGAAATTGTCAAAAAAGTAAAACCATAAAGGCAAAATGTTGTCTCAAATATTAGGTAATGATATTGGAAACTTTGCGTTCTTCCATTAGCGAAATTTTCTTAAGCCAGCTGGTAATTATCTTCACTAAATATACAGATACTTACTATTTTTCTTGGGCACTTTTTTTATTTTCCTATTTAAAAGAATAATTAGATAGAAACACATTACAGTTGGTTCTTAAACCAATACTTCTACGTTACGTACTCTTAACCAAATTAATGTAACTGGTGCAGAAGTATGGGTATTGGTACATAGGTACACATGGATGTGCAGATGGATAGTTATAGTTCGTTAATTAATGTAAAATAAAAACTAACAGAGATGTAAAGGAATACCTTATTAATCTTCATCGGACATATTCTCTTTTATATTATCTTGGTAAGATATTTCAAATTGTTGAACCTCGTAAAACGTTTCTAGTGTCCGATTATCGATAATTCATAAAACTCTTCTAACGACTTTTTATCCGTCTGACAGTCGCAAGATCCAGGATTAGGTAGATTGTTATAGGAATAGGTACCTACTCATTTGGTCATTTTAGGGGTCATTTAACGTATAAAAGGAGGTGTGAAGTATTAAGTATTTTTTTATTAAAAAGGTAAAAGTTGTCCATATCCGCATGTATAGACAAGATAATTTTATCCGTCGCCCTCTGATTTTCCGCTTCCCAATTAACTAGTAATCATACACCTTCCGGGAACCCTTTCATTACTGGTAATGAGTTTTCACCCTTCGCCGAATAGTGGACATCGGAGCTTTGATAGACTGCCTGCCACCTTATTTTGTCTTTTGCTTTCATGCCGCCAAATTGGGAACGAATGGCGCGTCCACTCAATTAGCCGGATTTTAGATACGTCAGACTCATGAATGTGCCGCACGATATTTAATTTAGCTCTTGTATGTATAGGTAACGACTTTTTAAAATTATGAACAGTCTGCAGAAAAGCTTTTATTTAACTTCAACTGAAATTCGATTGACTATTAGGGATGTATTCGGTGTGTCAGGTAATTTTTAATCAAGCAGGGGCTTTGTGTCAAAGTCCACAGCGTTCGCAGCTCTCTAATGTTGTTTTAAGCTTTACAGCTTTCATCGAATGGTAACAAAAATAATGGGTAGGTACGGCCTGTTCAAATTAGTTCTAAACTTCAACGGGGCCCACATATTGGCGAGTATACTCGACTCTGCAGCAAAGTTAGAAAAACTCGTTAACTGATTGACATTGAGACAGCCACTTTTTATGTAGTGGATTATGTGGAGGATTAAAACTATGCATTGAACGGTTTAATATTGACAGCCAATTTAAAATCTTAATATGAATGTATTGTGACCTATATGTATCTTTCCGTCTTTACCTTGCGTGCAACCGACTATCAACAGGAACCAGCTTTCAACTACCTACCTGACATAAATAATGGAACTGTAAGGAAGCTAACTTTAATCTATTGAATAAATTCATTATCTGTAATAGACAGATAATGAATTGGGGTTGTGTGTTGTATAGAAAACCGGATTTATCGCCAGCCTTTAAATTTTTTAAGACAATACCTAAAATTAAATCACAACTCCAATGAAAGTGGATATATAAACCTAATGACAATCTAATATTTTATTCATTAAAAGCATATGTTTATGGAGTTGAAGACACAGGACTTCCGTTGTAATCAAAGCCAACCCACGAAGTGTATCTAAACTCACTTTTAGTTTTTTTCTAAATCAAAGGAAAATACATCATAGTGGATCTTCGTTTTTCGAGCTGAAAGAAGTAAATTAAATTTTAAAACATTAATTACAATTTGAAAAATCAATTAACTTCACTTTTAAGATGTTCATTTTCCAATAGTAGGTAAGATATTGAATTCTCACTTAATAATGCAACAAAATCATTTACAATTACAATTTTTTTTTTTCATGTACTACTTACAAAGCGAGTGATGGCAATGATACATAAACCATCTGTGGTTTTCTTCACTGTTACTCTATTTACATGAATTGTGCCACCACAACCACCACCTTGTGCCATGAATAAATAATAATAAAAAAATTAAAACAATGAAGACAAGATGAAGTGGGTATATAGTGCAAATATCTGGATTTATCTTTTATTAACAACTTACAGTCCTTGAAATAAAAATATTTATCCCAAAGACTACATTCATAACAGCACAAAGTCATCCTCATTAGTGTTAATGGTGGTCGAACGAAGCCGATATCTGAGACAGAACGGCTTAATTAATGCCAAAGCCAGACTCTTTGTCAGATAATCGATAAATCATTTGTGATGTTGTATGGCGTTCGTTAATAATAACTAGATTAATAGGGCTTTTATGACGTCATGTTATTACTTTGTACCAACAATTGATCAATTTGAGGGTTGTTTTGTCTATGAAATAATAACACAGGTTGATACAGATCGTTTAATGTGAACAATCGAAACGATTTTGAAAAAATACATTTACACTGTTATCGATTACAAAAACTGAGTGTGTTGCGTTGCAAACGCAAACTATCAGTCTTGTTATTACGCAATTTGACCGAATAATCCCATCGCTTGAAAATTTTGTAGAAAAAAGAATTATTGTATCTTTAATACAGAAAACGTAGGTGTATTTTTTACCTATATAAAAAAAACACAGGTATTAATTTTTCACATCCAAACTGGTCGTACAATTTTATGGTTTTACGGGTGATACTAATCCTCCATTCAATATGAAATAAATATTATAAAGTTCACTTTTAATGTATATTTCAGTAGCCTTCGTCTAGGCATGGTTGCGTGAATTGCAATGTATTTACACGTCGACACTACCAATGATAATATATTTACAGTGGGTCGTCAGTTTTGTAGCTATGCACTGGCGGCGAGTTAAGCCTTTAAAATCGGATATAATCCTCCACTTAGATAATGTGTGGGTGCACTACAGAATTTAGTGCTGGAATTGAAAGACGTAATACTTAGCAGCAGTAAAACGCAAGAGTCATCGTGTCATTGCTAAAGGTATTACCTACTTTTCAAGTTTTTTATGTGTGGCCGGTGACTCACTATTACGTTACGTAAAATGTAAAATACGTAAGTAGGTAGCTTCTAGAGCATGGCACACCCGAAAGTGATGTTGAGTATAAAATGCTCTCAATAAAAAAGTATCAGAGACTTAATGCGCCTTCATCATGACGAATTGCGATAAACTCAGGTCTTTGTTAAGGCCTTAGCTGAATCCTTGGAGTATACAGGCCCGAGAAGATCTTCAATACAAGACCTGTTGGAACGCTGTCACGAATCTTTGCAGAGATTCTGATCGACCATCAGATCAAGCGCTATAAATGGTACTGGATTCTCCACACTCTGCGTAGGGACCCCGATCACAAATATGCGCTGCAGCTGGATTGAAACCCGCAAGGAAAACGTAAGTGTGCCGCCTACAGCAAACCTGACGACTCAGTGTCGCAGATGCGATGAAGTGAATCGGCAAGACGTAGAGTGAGGTCAAGTGCGAAACTCAAGACTGAACGCGATTGAGGATTACTGTAGACGCTCTCTGCCCTATCTCGAGGACATAGGAGATAAAGTCAAGTAAGTCACTGTTTTAGTTTTAATAGGTACAACCATTCCATCATTGACACAGATCATTCTCTTTCAGAAATTACTAGCGCAGAATCCGTACACAGAATTTTTAACATGTTAGAGCTTGGTTGTGACCCCGTAACAATACTCATGGGAGACGGTTTTTACAAAGTTGTGGGAAAAAATACTTCCCAATGTTAAAATTGAATTCATCTTTTCCATTTTCGGATATTTATAGACATACGTCATAGCAACTAGAGCTAATGGAATTAATAAACGCTAATCTACATAACAACTGTAAAAGATTTTGTGTACTTAAGATTACCTATAATAATGAGAATGGTTAAATACTTTTAATACCCGTCGTCAAATTATTGAAGAAATAAATATGTAATATGGTAATTTAAAAAACAAAACTTTTTATAATAATGAGAATCGTAATTTTTGACACATTTAATATCAAAGTGGAATTGTTCAAGAAGTATATTAAACATAAATATGAGTATTTTAAGTGAAATGGTAAACCTTTCTAAACAGATTTCTTAAATACACGCAGGAAAATATACAATTTCTCATAACTGATTTTTTTCTTCACAAAATCTTTGGCACGAAATATATTTTCATCTAAACGTTATGTCCTTTACACTCAAATATTATAAAGACAGTATATGAAAAAGATATTTACAAAAATATTTACATGTAACAAAATAACTGGATAACTAAAGCATTAAATATTGCAACTGAATATATTTTGTATGAAATAATAAAAAGAAAATTCTAAAATGCCGTACTAACTTATTGAATTACTTAAAATACTGAGATACCATAAGTTACGGACAAAAATTAATGTACATACATCAACGTAACTTGACAATATAACAATTTTATGAATATTTATGAAACATGACTACATGACAATAATGAATAAGGAATATAAACAAGAACAAACTAAACTGCATTGTAATAAGATTTACAGTTCAGTGCTCATCTCTGCAGCTGCTGGCTTGTTGTCGTTGCCAGATGCGCTGGAGCCGCCTCCGTTGCTAGTACTCCCAGATGTTGCTTCATTCGAGCCGCTCAGTTGCTCTGCAGCCTGATTTTACAATAATCGGTTTTAGTAAATGTTTCCATTTACACCTGAGATGAACCTATTTAATAATTTGTCTAGTAAAAAAATTAAGACACTCAAGATATCCGACAAAGATCCGACATTAGACGTGATAACTTTGCAAAATGGTTTTACTAAGTCAACTTATGGATAACTGATGGCGACCATATGCCCCAGAGACTTATTCAGATGGGCCATATGCTTTTTTGCTACGTTACGTAGATTAATAATATCCATTACTGGAACGAACTACAAAACAAAGTAACATTATATCTCACTTTTGATAAGTTATGGTATCAATATAAAAATAGCTAACGTGAAATATATCTTCTAGTGTAACGGGTAAAGTTAAATAAATCGTGTTCTGAAAAGTATTATTGTAGCACACAGTTACATTAGCATTAAACACTTCTTCCAAATTGTCTTTTTTTTATTCAAATTAACACAGTATGTTCTCTAATAAAACTTGGTTATCAAACATTTAATCACAAAACAAGGTGCAACACATAAAAGTAACACAAATTAAACACATCACAGTCGTAATGCATAAACATAAAATTATCTGATGGTTAGACATGGGTTAGTTATAATGTTAAATTCTACACTCATACCGCTAAACCGTCACCACATGCAAAGACAAACACAACAAACAAATCTCCTGGTGGAGACGAACAACCAAAACAAACCAAGGGGATGCGTGCAGCTACTCATTCCGCTACGTATTGCGACACAAACATCGTCGTTCGGTGCGTGCCTTACTTACTGCGTGCTTTCTATTAGAGGTTTTAAGATAATGTCGAGGGTGTTGTCGTGTCGATGGGCGTGTGCGAGTCGCGAGTGCGTGCGCGCCAGGTTCGCGTTGTGGTCGCGCGACTCCCGCGACGGCCGCGCGTACCGCCGCGCCAGCGACCCGCTCTCGCCGACCAATATGTTGTTGTTGCTAGCATGTCTCTGCGTCCCAATAATCATACACGCTACACAAACTACGTGTGCATACCTTACAGCACTATACATCGATTTTACCAGTGAATATAATATATATTAATTGAAAGGACTATGTCTGCGACAGAAGAAGTTTTATCTCAAGTTCCCGTGATACTAGGCGCATCGACAAGGTACTAAATTGGTCAGTTTTTTTTTAGTTAAGATTACACGGGTGGCCCGGATTCTCGGTTTAGTATAATTGACAAATTTAATCAAAACGTAGAAAGTAAGACGTATCCTTATCCACTTTAGTACTTTGTGTAATAAAAAGCCCTTTAAGCAAATAGAAGTTTTGAGAATAACTTTAATTTAATAGGTATAACAGAATAGATTTATATATTTTTAAGATCGTCAGTGAAATTAGACTAACCTAAGCAAATATGATATCTATCTACTTTATTTCGTAACATTGTAATATGGATAAGTTTTCGACGATAAAAATCATAGAAGTATTTTGGTAGGACAGCAGCCTGTACACTGTTAGCTTTTTCAGCGACCCAGAAACAGGAGCTGCGAATTACTCACATGGCCCTTGCATTGTTTTCATTTTAAATTTGAACCAAATTCAACATTGAAAAATGCTATCGGAATTCTAAGTAAATGTTCATGTTATTTTTCTGTTTTGTTCACTAAAATTCTTTTATTAGCAAAAATTTATAAGACAGTAAAATCGATACTGTCCATGAAGTAAAACGATCTTTTTTATATAGGCTATTTGATAGAAATTAATTATCTTCAATTACCTTCTTTTAATAACATACATACATCTGTACTGCATTAGTATATACTCTCACTATGTATTGCATAAGTACGCTGAAAAATAATATCTCTCACCTGGCATCATAATACGATTCAAAACGCTCTAATTTGGCTAACCTTATGTTAATGCTAGGTACTGAGAATATAAATATGTATGTCACTGAAAAAGTGTTTAAATTTTTTGCACTTTCAAAGTAAGTTATTGAGATAAGTGCTCAGGGACAGCGTTGTTATAGCTTTTTAATCCAAGCCTATTTCTTATATTTTTGTAAGAATTACTTAATACAATTATAGTTACCAATATTGGTTGGCTCTATAAACAACACTATGTGACTATAGATTTTGTGAGAAACAAGCCAAATAGCCCATTCATAAAAATTAATATAGATCGAATATTTGAAAACATTAAAAAAATGCCAAGGGCCATCGAGTAGCGGAAGACTTGTTAGGAAGCCAAGCGCCCACTCACAAAGAGAGAAAAGCCACCATCCGCCGGGTGAGGGTAGCCGCGCGGCGCGAGGTCGCGCGGGCGGCGCGAGGTGGCGCTGTCGCTGGCCACGGACAGCAGCGAGCGCTGCGAGCCCGAAACCGCGAGGCGCGCGCGGCCCGGCGCCGCCGGTGGCCGCCGCGTGACCGCGCCGCCGCCCCCCACCCGCGCGTCCCTCGCACCGCCCGCGTCGACATTTGCCGCCCACTGCCTACTCACAGGCGCCGTCCGGGAAGACCCTCCTGCTCCGCATTTCGCACTGTCGCTCGACCTGCACCCGATAGACATGGGCCTTACATCAGTTTCGACTCGTTTGCTGCCAATAAAGTTTCAAAGTTAAAAGTCACAAACCACTTCATGTGCGAGACCAGGTATACATGGAGAGTTTTGTGGTAAAAACCTTCATTCACCCGTTGTTGAATTGCACACAAACACATAAAAAGAGGTAGAATTAATTGAGTGGCTGAGAAAGGATAGCCCGTCGCTCGTTGTCACCAATTAACTAACTAACTTGGAGTAAAGAATGTTTTTCAGTTTTCCAAAAGACCAATATTAATTTTATTGTTTAAATAAAAGGTAAGTAGGTGCACAGTACAGTAGACACTTCGTACCAAGTGTCCTTGTACTCGATAATTATACTCGATAAAATATTGAAATCTATTGATTTACGTAAGTATTTTTTACAGATTAGTCAAAATTTGTAAATCTATCTACTATGTCTGTTTAAATTATTGGAAATATTTTTTTTAATAAATTTATACTAAATATTATTAGTATTTTGTAAAATTACATTTACAAAATACATTAGAATATAGACATTCGAGATTGCGATTTTATTATAAATCTTTAATTTTTATTTACACGTGAACGTTAGTATAAATGCAACCGTCACATAATTACCTCTCCGATGAATAGGCATAGTCCTGATCTGCCCCCAAGCCTGAATCTGTGTGTTCGTGTGAAACGCGTGCACTTCCCGAAATTAGTTCTCCACTCGAACTATTACTGTTGCTGTTGGTCACAGGACTATAAGGGTTGTTGTTGTTTAAAATCGGGGTCACATTCCCTTTGTATCCGTTGTTTGTCAGAAAATCATCGTTTGCTCGTCCGACAGTTTCATCGTAGCTCGGATAAACACGCCTGCAAAACCCCACAACGTAAATCTTTCATATTTAGATAATAAATCATGGACATGCTTTATGGATTGTGTATACCTTCCATGTTTCTCGTGAGCGGACCGATGTGTGCTAAGTGTACTCGAACTAGATCGTAGAGACCCCTGGTTATGACTTTCATGATTCGTTTTTCCGAGGGAAGAGATACTTTTATCCCGCCTCGCTAATGATCCATGTTCAGTCCTGTGTAAAAAATGTGTCATAAATATTTATAGCAGAAACCTATGCATACGAATCATATTAACAAGTATTACTCTTACTGTCTATGCTTTGATGAGGTCCGGAGTTTCGTTTGTCGCGCATGACTGGTTTGAACAACAGTATATGGTATTTCCTTCAGTTGTTCCTCCGTCATGCCAGTTGTATCGACTAACGAGAACTCCAGATGTTGTTTCAGTTCATTAGGCAGCCACTTCTTGTCGTTTGGAGAACCAGACCGGGAACTAAAAGCGTCATTCGATAGACTAATTAAACAACAATAATTATCTTATTAATAAGGGAAATAATTAGATAGAAAATTATTGTACCGATGCTTTTTATGCCTTCGATGCCTGTGAGATGATCGATGCGTGCCCGTTTCGGGTTCCATTTGCGAACGGCGCACGTTTGCGACCTACAAATTGTGATTATATTGCATTGCAGTTACACATAGCACACGTTAGATAAAAATATTTTTGAATGACATACTTGAACCCCACTTCCAATGGTTGTTTGTCGTAATACTTCCTTCCACTGAGATTCTGAATCGACAAGTTCGTATTCTCTGTAATAACACAATGTGAGTTAAAGAACACTCTCAATCATATAGTTTTAAAAATTCCATTTAAAATTCTTGTACTGACTTGGCCTCTGGTTGCGAATCGTCCCGCTCTGAGCCCGATTCATGCTTGTGTTTCGAACGATGCCGTCTGTGCCTCCTTCCTGAACGACCTGAACCTCGTGAAAGCTCACTCTCTGCGTCTGACTGCTGTTTCCGCGAACGATGTTTATGTCTAAATCATAAAATATCGTTTAAGCTCTCAAATAACTCTTAAAATGACCGTATTTTACATCATATATTCTTTAAGATAATTTGGAGGATGGCAGACTTTTAAAAATGGATGATGATAAAAGTTGTGGCGTTATAATAATGGGTTTTGAATTTTAGTTGTAAAGTCAAGTCGCCTGACTGTCATTATTCACCGAGTGGGTGAGTGGGTGGCACTGGAGTGAGAAAAAGTAATGGGAAACTAACTTGCGATTAGAGCGAGAGTCGTTGGAGCTTTGTGAGTCGACGGAGGCTGAGCGATGGCGAGGAGCTGGTGGCGGCCGAGTCGCGGTAGGGGAAGCAGAGTATAATCCGCGTCGAGTCGGTGCCGAGCGAGTTGACCTAGGCGAACCACCCACCGTGGTAGGTTCACAACCTGGGACTACTTCGCCACTCATCCTGAACCAGTATTGCGAAAAAACACTATTAGGATCACTACCCACTAATGAGTATTCTAAGGGTTTTATAACCAACTTTATTTGAACTTACGAGTTGGGTCGATTTACAGAAGTAGGCTGTTTTACTTCCGGAGGGCAGTCTTTTATTCTCAAGTCTTCTAGATTCGGTACTAAAACAAAAAAAAAGATATAAAAAAGAGATTACATAAAACAAATATTTATTATGATAACTCACTTTATAAAGGTGTGTTCGACTCCTCACCATAATTTGAATTCACAAACGACATGAAAGTTACATATAACCTGTATAATTAGGTAGTCGTTTCTGAATGACTTTCGTTTTACGAACACGTCAACAATATGAATAAACAAATGTAGGTCATTTATGTGAATGTTAATATAATTAGCCCCTAAATACCGTCATTAAGTGAGGCGTGCGAAACGTGGGGCGGGCGGGCGATGCGACGAGACGGGGTCCGCGTGAACGTAGGTGGAGGACGCGGTCTTGCACATCTTCCACTATTGAAAAAAAAAATACGCTGAATGATAATATTTTCAAAATAACGCACAATTTTTTGTGTCTGGGGATTACAATATCCGCATTTGAGAAAGTTTGCTAATAAACATACCAGACTGTAGTAATCGAAACTCTAAACCAGAACAAAATACTTTTGATTAAAATGAAATTTAGTTTTAAGTACATAAGGTTAGATATTTTTATTTAAATTCTAGTCGTTTAAGTTTTTATGAGTTATTTTGACCGTGACTACAGATTTTCAGTTGAATGTACTTTGAACGCTTAAGAGTTTAGATTATAATGTAGATACCGCTGTAGATAAAGAAAAAAAAAAGTTATTTTTTCACAATTTATAAAATATACCTGCTATTAAAACATTTTAGCTTTGTCATCTAGATATATAGATATGTCATGACTATATAGATGCATATAGTCCAAATTTCTTATTTTGATGAACAATAAATTTGTTTGATAACGGGTACAAAAAAATATTTACAAATAATAAAGAAGATCCCCATGTTCTGTAATAGCAAAAATAGAAACACTCTTTTCAATTGACATACCTATTTCTTAACCTGGTTCCTAAAGCAAAGATATCGGCCGAAGCCGGTGAAGTCTGCTGCATCCGAAAGAACGTATGGTGGTCTGAACAGCATCGCCATAAATGACGACAAGCGGACCTGGTCGGAGACTCGAAGCCGTATGTAGATGTGTCATTCTGAACAAATACAAAGTTGTTTGTAAAACATTGCATTAATTTGTTAACCGACTTCAAAAAAGGAGGAGGTTCCATGTTCCACTGTATGTATTTTTTTTTTATTAAAAAAATCGAGTCTTCTATCGTTTTTCAAAAAAAAAATTACCTTATTTAACATGAGTCGGTCTTAACATTATTTTTTATCCCGAAAAACTGAGAAAAATAGTTAATATTAATAGCGTCTGTCTTATTATTTTTAGGGGATTAGTGATAAATAATTCACGAACAGTTACTGTTTATAAAAAACATAAAAAAATTATAAGGCAAGATTAATTTCATTTCAAATTTATTGACTTAAGGGTACAAGGGCACATGTTGAATTAAGTCTAATAATTGTGTACGCTAAGGTCCAAAAAAAAAAAAAAGAAGTCAGTCCCTTTGTGTCAATTTGCAAGTTTAAAAATGAGCATGATTTTTATTTTATTATTATTCTTTTATTATTCAGGATCACCTTTTTATGGAATTGTTAATATAGTTAAAAATCTTTGCTTAAAGTTTATAGCTACGTTTTAAGCACCACTTTAATGGTAAATACAACCCTAGAGCTTCACGTTTTCACGCCTGTAAAATGTTTTAATGTTTTCTGACAGTAAAGTGTTAAAGTATTATTAATATCACTTACGCTTTCGTCTTTATTAAAAAACAGTGGCTTTACTTTTACTGTTAAAGCGGTAAAGTAATAAACTGGGAACTTTACAGCATTCTTTATAAGTACTAAAAGGGTAGTCTTCAACTATTCATGTCTCACGAATATAAATCTATATAAAATGATTAAATATTAGACAAGATCCTTTCAGACTCTAAGTAATTCTTCTTCCTAAAATCCACTGAAGTACTCTATAAAATTATATTTGAAGCATTCAGCGGCTTTGGGATCTAGTAAGCTACCATCTTATTATCGGCTCCCGGACAAGGGATCGAAGAGGTTCGAAAGAAAATGTCATCAAAATAATATTTTGAGGGTATTTCGTAATATTAAAAGATAGAAAGTGTATCGAATTCGTAAGCCGCAACATCGAGAAAGCACCACGTTTATAGACCTGATCGGCTTCGTAAGTTCAAATTCTACGAATTGTCATAAATTTGGTTCAGTAAGTAATGCAGATTTATGAAGTAATGAGTAATGCAGAGAATTTATGACGATTCCTAAAATTTGAACTTATGATATGATTATATTTGAAGATGAACGTCAATATTAATTTATCCTATATATTTATATATTCAAACAGGCGAATCATATTACACACAATACTTTCTGTAAACAATGCGAATAGCAGAACTTTGACAATATGTTTTAAGAAGACTTTATGACTGAGGACCTCTAAGAGAAGAACCACTATCATTAACTACTTAAAAGTTATTATGTTACTGTTAATGTTATAAAAGTACATTATAATGTTGTATATATTTAAAATAATAAACAAGACTATAGGACCAGAATGTTAATCAAATGAAAATTATATTGCTGTAATTTGAATAATCCAGCTATTGGATGTTGAAGACCGTTATATTTATTTCAGAATGTCACCACAACTAGTGTCTAGTCAAATAGATTGTTAGCGAAATTACCCACGCTGATAATACAATGATTCTTTTATCGTGGTTTCGAAATGTCGCGTCTGTGCTTCTCGAGTGCACTGGTTCTGATATTATAAAAACTTATAGGAGCTATTAAAATAGAAATTAAAATCCTTTTGGTGGCGCTTGGCGGTAAATCAGGGTTGAGCGTGGCGAACGTCTGCGCGTTATCACCGCGCCCACAAAGCTGTAAATACTGCGCTCACTTGTACGCGACTTATCTGTAATTGCCTGCCTACGAATGTCTTTCAAAGAAGCGGCGCAAGGTGGACTCTATCTTGCACCACTATTCAAAGTGCGCCCGTTATCACTCCCTGCGATCCGAAACGAGAAATGGGTCAAGTAAGGCGTCCGATTTTAATCTTTACGTATTTGTCTTACTAACATTCCTTTGTTTGGTATTATTTTTAATAAAACTGTATACTTACATTTTTATCAGCTACGCGAAGCATGAAGTACCGCCCTTTGTAGTAAAGTTTGGAGACGCGCGGCCAATAATAGTTCGCAACTGTGTGCTTTCCGCGTAAAAGTAAAAGTCCACTTGGCGCCAGGCCGAGGAAATACTCTACACTGTCTTCGCCCTGTCGATGAAAAGAACATTGTTCAATATTACAGATATCCACAGAAACTGTAAAAAATGTAAACCAAAAACTATATTTACCAAAACTGGATGTAGATCTACACCGTACATATCCAGCCATTTTACCTTGTCTAGGTAACTTAATTCAGCTTGCGCTGGTGAAATACCCCTGTAAAAAACGGTTATTACAAAACTTCTAAAATAGCTAAACCGTCAATTAAATTATTATCCTTAATTAATGGGTGGCAGTAAGCATGAAAGGCTACAAAAGGCTAAGCAACAATGAATAATCGCGACGTAAAGTCGTGAACTCGGGTCGCCGCCCTAAGCTACGGCTCACTTGGTGTTAAGTAGGTAGGTACACATAATTTGCATGTAATTGCGGCTTTGTGAGGTGCCAACAGCCGCAGACTGCATCTTTGCGCAGTTAAAAAATTCATTCAATTAGGCGAGAAGGCGACAAAGTTTAATTTCCGGGCGGATTGTGTCGTTTGGGCGTGAAACTGTGCCTCAGTTTGACGTCAGTTTTTGTTGGTTACTTAACACAATAAGAACGACTTCTAACAGGAAGGACTTCCTCATGTTGAACACGTAAGTTCATAATTAATTAATCTATTTTAAGAAAATTGAGACGGTGGGGAAGTATAACAACAGAAAGAAAGCAATATTTCATAAAATTAATTTAACATTTATAGACTTACGTTAGGGTGCGGTGAATTTCTGCAGCTCTTGTCTCAAGCTCAGGAGTCTGGTGAGCCAAAAAGCGGAATTCTGATACGTAGCTGGATCCATGGCGTCTAGGATCGTAGTCGCCCAACTCAGCTGCACAAACACCATACATTGGTACAGAGTCAACACTATGGCATTATAGATATACCACAATCAGTCTGATACATAAAACAAGTAGTTTATATATAAATAGCACGCACGACAAACATTGTCATGGTACACTCATTTAGCTGACAGAATACTTTAAACATTGAGTGAAAATAGACTAAAGAGCGATGCTATTCCGTATTTGGAACAAACATCGCTTAGCATATGACCAAAAATAACCTAAACAAATTCATGTGTGTTACATCGCCGTTATAATAGTGCTCTGGACTTAACAATCGTAATTAACTCTATAAAGGCATGGGGTTTGTGTCCTAAGCAAATACACCATGCAATGTAAACACAATAAGTGTAGCTCTCGTGTTGATTACAAAATTGAGAGAGGGAGGAAGATTGAGGGATAACATCGTTTTGGAAGGACACCGTACAGCAGACAGGTATGCATTTAGGTACTGTTTCAATATAAAATAAAACAGTAATATTAGCTTCATTAAAAAAAAAGTATTTCTTTGGACAGAATGCTTTATCCAAACTGGGAGTATAATATTTCCACATACGGACATATAGTCGACTATTAGAAAAACTATGACCAGTGAACGATACTGGCAGTCATTTCCTGTCGTATATCTTGTTTTTGTACTCGGGAATCGCAACATCTGGTACGCTAGTAGAAGCACTCACATAGTTGTTCGGACCTTTCATATATTATGTTCACGCTTGTCTGAAGAACAAAATGTCGTTATGAAATCACACGCTTCTGAAGCTTTAATATTTGGTACACATGTGTTCATTACATCAACAGTATACTGCTTACAGATTTTCTTGTTATATACTTATTTTTAGAACGAACGAAATCATAACTTGTTTAAAGCTAATGCGAATAAAGTTCTTGTTTTTGTAAATTTAAATAGAATGTACTACACCGAAAAATCTAATTAACTTTAAAATTCAGCTTTCATCTTGTGTCTTTCTTTTTCCAGTTAGAACTTATAAATGTATTAAAATTTAGAGCCTTTTCTTATTCTAGATTAGTCATTTATATGCAAATTTTTTGTAACAATGTCAGAAAAGGTTTGAGATAGACATCATAAGACTCCATATTATTATCAATACAGCTATACCTTAATCTATACAAATAAATAAAATTAAAGTGTCTGTTTGTAATGTCAAAATTATAGGTTTTTCATGCTTACACAGTTATTTGCACGATACCTATGCCTAAAAACCTTTTTTTTTGTCTGTCTGTCTGTTTGATCCGGGTAATCTTCTAAACGACTGAACCGATTTCGATAATATTTTACTACCAGGTAGCTGTCTATATAAGGAACAACTTAGGCTATTTTTACTCTCAGAAAAAAACTTTAAAATTTTGCCCGGTCCGGGCATCGGTCGCGGGTACCAGCTAGTATTAAATAAAAACGGCGTGAGGAGTCTACAGAAATGCCCCGGTCGGAACGAAATGCCTTTCGCTTTGTGAAATTATATCTTATAATACTATATCATATTTTCATTATGAATTTTATTGAGTGTATATTATAGTAACTAGGTAAAGTTTTTGATTTAATTAGTTAGAAAAAGTAGCACATTTTTCAATTATATCTTTTTTTTTTCGGTTTTTAGTGTTTTTTAGGTAGGGAGTTTTCGTTTAATATGTTTTTTTAAATCGGTTCATTGTTTTTTTTTATAAAATTGATTATTTTTCCATTTTAGAGTAGAAATTCATAGGTACGCAGTAGGTTGAACTACTTCGTTATAAGTCGCGAGACCTACCAACTTACGGAAGACGACCACCTTCAAATGTTATTCCTGCTGATGCGAATAACTGTGGTGGCTTGATACACGTATTGAAACTGGGTATAGGCTCCATAGTTATGTTGAGACGCAAGATTACTGTTACCAAAGGGCCTGTTCCAAGTATCTTATCCAATTTTAAATGGTCTGCCCGTCGAGGTGATCAAATAGAAACAGGCGAATTACCCGATTCAGTTTAAAAAAAAATACTTGTTGTACCCTGCCACGCTTCGCTGTGGCACATTGTGGTAGCAAGAAATATATAAAAACCATCTTTGAAGCTTGTTGTATATCGTGTCAAAGTTTGAACTCAATCGATGCAGAAATTTTTGGAGCAACAACTTAATTTTTTTTTTTTTTTTTTTTTTATATTTACTTTTATAATTTATATTATGTTTTCCACAAAATCAAAAGCACCTATGGCAACTAACCCTGTTCAACATCACCGTAGCTTTTAGTTGCCTGATAAACCTGCTAAAATGCTACTGGTAATCCTCAGTTGGACGGCTACAGTGCATAAAATTCAGGGCACTACCCTCGGGCACGCCGTCATTGCGGCGGTAAGACCCGTTATGGAGGATTGGCTCGAGAGGCGTCACGGGACCCTCTCACACCGATTGACGCAGGTGATCACTGGGAAGGGATGTTTCGGAGATCACCTGTGTCTGATCCGCAAGGAGCCAACGCCTGAGTGCCACCACTGCGATGGCCAGACCGTGGACACGGCTCTCCACACGCTGGCAGAGTGCCCGGCGTGGGTTGAGCAGAGGCGAGACCTCGTGGCGGCCATCGGAGTGGGAGTTCTCTCGCTCGATAGCCTGATTGCGGCTATCGTGCGGAGCGAGAGTGCGTGGAACTCTGCCGTCTCCTTCTGCGAGCAAGTTTTGCTCGCGAAGGAGACGGCGGAGCGGGACCGTTAGAGGTTTAGAACTCTCCCGGCCCGCCAGGCCCGGGCACGGACCAGGCACCGCAGGCGACTCAGGCGCCGGAGGTCGCAGAACGACCTCCGTCCTCCATAAGCGCAGGCCTGGGGGTGACAGGTGAGGCAATCTGTCACCCTAGCAGAAGCAGGCCGGGGTGGCGGCGAGCGCGTTGCGAAGCGCGCTCGCTTCCAGGGAGCACAGGGAACATGGGGTTCCCACACGGTGGGGGGGTCGTCTACTCGTCTGTAGATGACCCGAGGTATGTCGGGGCACCAGGGACTTCCTTTCTAGGGTATACCTGGTTCCCCGGCTATTAGTACCCGGCGACGGCGTGCGGTTTTAGTCGGTTCGAGTCCGACATGCCGGTGGTATCCGAGGGGATTTCCGCACGGAAAAAAATATATAAATACTCAGTCGGGAACTAGAGCTGTAACTATTTCGCCAATTCACCCCGAAGAAGATCGCGCACTTTTCTCTTGAATGCGAGGCGATTTGTTGACATGCTGATTTCGGCAGGGAGGGCATTCCAGAGGAGGACTGACTGGACGTAGAAGGAGGAGTTGATGAAGTTAGAGGTGTGAGGGGGGCATAGAAGAAGCATATTGTTGGTTGATCGAAGATTTCGATCGTGATTGGAGCATAGGAAACGGAAGTGGGGTACGAGGTATTCAGGTAACGATGGAGAGTTGAGGAAAGAAAAGAGAGAAGTCAGTTCTCGTAAACTGCGGCGCTGACGAATTGGGAGCCATTGCAGCTGGGAACGTAAAACGGACACGTGGTCATACTTGCGAAGATTGAAAACGAATCGAATGCAGTTATTGAGAAGGCGATCTAGTTTATTGAGAAGGTCTGCATTGAGGTCGAAATAACACACATCACCATAGTCGATTATGGGAATAATTAAGGACTGCATAAGCGTAGCCTTAGTTTTAGCGGGAAGGAAGTTCTTCAATCGATATAAGGCACGGAGACATGTGGTGACTTTCTGGCCGACGTGTGTAACCTGTGCCCGCCAGTCAAGTGTCGAGTCGATATATAACCCCAGGTTCTTTACCACTGCACTATAAGGTATAGTCACATTGTTGTAGACAACTGGTGGGATGACCGCCATATTTAACCTACTTATCATTTGTTTGCTCCCCACGACGATCACTTGACATTTGGTTGGATTTACCGACAAACCAAACCTCGTTGACCAGCTCTTTATAAAGTCCAAGTCCTTGTTGACTTTGTCGATAGCGTATGTTATGTCCTCAACCCTTGTCTGTGTGTACACTTGTAAGTCATCAGCGTACAGGTGATACGTACACTGAAGGTGCTGGGTTATGAGATTAATGAATATTGAGAATATTAAGGGAGATAATATACCGCCTTGAGGGACGCCAGTGAGAAGATCTGTAGAGTTTTGTAGTAGAGGTTCCTAATCCAACCCTCAGCTCTGCATGACTTTTCTTTTCTGTACATTACAGGTACTATCTTAAAGTATCATCCAACTCCTGACCGTTAAGGAGTTGTACCTTCCATCACCAGCTCAACAACACGAGATAACGACAATCAGACGTAAATACTAGAATAGCTTTAGAAAATATATAAAACACATAATATGTGCCTATAAAATTTGAGGGTTGCCCACGATTTTCTTGGGATCCCCTTAACAGATCCGGACTTTGTGACAACTTCCGGACTATGCTCTTCCTAATAAAAAAAGAATTTTGAAAATCGGTCCACAATTGACGGAGTAATCGGTAAACATACATAAAAAAAACAGCGGAACATAGATACTCCTTTATTTTTTTGAAGTCGGCTACAAAACTCTGCGATGGTATATCATTTTTATCTTTTACTGTCCCGGGTGGCAGCGGCAGGGGCGATCAGAGCGGGCCTATAAATATTGCATAAAAAGATGTCCTGTTGTAAAGTCCTATCATAATAGTAGTATAATTAATTACTACACACTGACACTACATTACTAGTATTAGTAGCATCTACATTTCACCCGTGCGAAGCTACCGGAACGCTAGTATACCGCTCCGTTCCTGCCGGCCGTTGCCACCCGGGACGGACGTACGGTCCGATGGCAAGCGCGGCGACGGCCATTTTGACCTCGTATTTTAAACCTCTAATTTCTTCTAAAATATTAGACTTGCAACGAATAGTATATTCGGCAGTATACCGAATACCGAATATTCGGCGAGGCCCCTGACCGAATAGCCGAATATTAGGCAAAAGTATTCGGCTGGATTTTAGCGCCAAAAACTTGTACAGACGTGAATT